CACTGCCCTGTACAACTTTCCTGTTGTTCTCGTGCAAACTCTTATCACTACAGCTTCTCTGTCCATTTCATCTTGCTTGCACACACTTCATTTCTTTTCCAAACTCAGGGATGGCTGATCATGCATCAACAGTAATTGTTAAAGTCTATTTCGCATCTTAAATTCACTTTAGTTGTGTTAACGGTGCCCTGCTAAGTATTTTTACACATTTATGAACTCCAGCATGGTATGTAAGGAAACTGAGAAATGTCAGCTGATGGAGCTCACAGTAGATCTCCTTCTTGTCTGCACTGAAATGTGTCAGCTGAGGAGGTTCAGGCATGCCTCCTCTCTCTGGATGTCTTTCTGGGCACATCCAATTAGGAGGAGACCCCTGGGCAGACCCAGATCATACGTAAATCCTCCACCACCTGGGACCAACTTGGGATCCTCAAGGAGGAACTGGAGAGGGCCACAGGGGAGAGATAATCTCTGGGTTTCCCTACTGAACCTGTTGCCATTGCAACCTGACCTTGGCTAAGGATAGGAAATAGGATGGAGTGCTGGTATTTATTTCCTGACACGCATAATTTATTACGACTTCAGGGTTTAAAACATGACGATGTTAGAGGAAGTCCAAAATACCTCCAGCATGTTTATTAAAAGAATTAAGGTTTGACATGACATTTAATAAAACCAGACAGTTTAAATTGGCTGCTAGAGCCTAATATGATGATGTATGCATATTCTAATAAGGTGCATGAATTTTAATATTAACAGTCTCAATGGCAGCTCTGAAAATTTATTACAAGGAGTCCCGGGCATCCGGGCTCCTTTTAGCGCCGTGATTCGCCCTCCAAGGATGAGTGTTGGACCCTCATTCATTTGGCGGCACGCTGATATAAGATCCTACAGAGTATGTTCTAATCACTTCATTCTTTGGGTATTTCATAAGCTGAAGATAGATTTGTAGTTTTAATCAAAGCTGTTTTAAAAAAAGCGTTTGATTTGTCTGAAACTGCAAACGATTATCTCAACCTTCCCTGCAACATCCTCAGCTTTGGCATCTGACACACACACACACACACACACACACACACGCACACACACACACACCATCAGCTGTCCACACACAAACACCCTTGCACTATCCCATCTCTCCATTTTCACAAATGAAGAGAGACGGCCTTATCCCGGAACCAACGTGGAAAAGCAATTAAAAAGGAATTAAGAGTGTGCAGGGAGAAATTGGATATGAAACCCGATGTCTATTGTAAATGTCAATGTTATTACTGTGTTGTTGTTCCCCATTCCTTTGGCTGCCTTGCTCGTTTTCAGGAGTGACAGTCCATAGTCTGGTGGGCTTAATGAAGCTGTCTAAGCAGCCAAGGTGCTGGTATGTAAGGTGAAGAGGGCTGCTTATCCTCTCCTGCATGCAGCTCTCATTAAGATCCATTTTACCACCGAATACTCCTTCACTTCTTCTCTGCCGCTGTCTTTGAGCATATTTAACACTCCTCCCCTGCAGCCGTGAGAATAGCTACACTAACGCACTTTTCTGATTTTACTTTAGCTCAGGTTGATCCCATGGAGGAGGTATGATCGCAGGCTCTTGAGAGCTGAAAGCTGTGTTTTTGCACTCATCTTTAAAATGCTTTTGGTCAGAAATGCCAGAGGATGTCGAGCTGCAGATCTGAGAAGTGGATTACAAATTTATTTATAAGCTTTTGCTTTGGAATACTGAAGTATCATGAACCTTTTCCAAGTGTTCAGATGGGTTGTGTTTATGCTTCAAGATAAATGTTGGTATATTTTAGAAAGTCTTGGTCGTTTAAGGATGACAAGGATTTTTTTAGCTGCATAACAAACTACAAGTCGTTACAGTAAAAAAAACATTTCTTGTCGTTTAATAAGGCGGTTCACTTTAATTTTTAACTTGATTTGATTTAACTAAATTTCTTATAGATCAAGAACAGACATGATATTGTGCTTTTAATTTGAAATTCCCGTTTAGTTTTAATTGTATGTAGTTTAGGGATGTTTAAAGCAGTCTTATCATGATATGTAATTAATCAATACACTTGAGTTTTTATTTGATGTATTTTTAACCCTAAAGGATCAAAAAACCTCTAAAATAATTTACCCACGGATAATAAAATGTTCTGGTTTCTGAGAGTGAACGGATGATCCCTGCAGACAGGTCCTAGTCATGACTGAAAACACAAGCATGGCTCTGATAGAGCAAAGTGAAAGGCATTACACCCGGATGTGAGACTCCCAACACAAACATGGCCGTCTGTTTGACTGTGATATGGGAATGTCCTGTTTTATCAAAATTGAATTTCCCTAAGGGAATTTTATTTTCCATCCTGCAGCTTCAACTCCGGTGAATTGCCATTCCTCTGGGCTACGCCTGCGTTGAGATTTCTTCTAAATTATCCCGGATGTTTTTTTTCCTCCTTTTTGCTGCTTTTCCAGCCTCCTGCTTTAAATTCTTGCAGACATTCGCTCAGTGCAGCCACAGTCTGCTGCTGTTGGCCACTGAGCAGCTCCACTGGAGCGATTTGGGGTTTAAGTGGCTTCCTCGAGGGCACCACAGTGTTGTTTGTTAAGAGAGCTGAGAGTGCAGCTCATTCGTTTTCCACACTCGGGCACCTCCAGGATGATCTGTCCTGTAATCTCACAAAGAAAGCCCAAGTAGTAAGAGTCATTCTTCACCATTTCTGTAATTATGACACGTCCGAGAAGGTATATGTGTGTGCATATGACACACACACACACACACACTTTTCATGGCTTCCTTTGTTCTCCCTCTCATGTCTTACAGTCTGTCTTGTGTGTCCTTCTTCATCCCACTTTATAACGGAAGTGGATGACAGCCACATCTGAAGTCGAGAGATGAAAGACATCATTTACAAGTTGGTGTCTGCTCTCCCTCTGTGCGCAGTCCACACACACACACACACACACACACACACACACACACACACACACACACACACACACACACACACACACACACACACACACACACACTATTTTAACAAATAATGCTTCAACGTATATCAAAGGAACAAGAGGTTTGTTTTATTCTGCTTCAGTTTCAATGAGTTTACATCGATGCGCGTACGTCTAAGTGCATAATGTAGAGCAAATGCAAAAGGGTGTGTTTTACTGTTCGATAGTTGTAGATGGCTGATGCTGAGTTACCCTTAATGCATGGGAGCCCATAGATCTGCAGACTTTAGCCCTGAGAATTCTAAAAATAAATGCAACTTTAGAATTGAACTTGGATTGAAGGGATTAAATAGATGCTGCATTTCAGGGTTTGTAGCTGAGACAGATTAGGAAAGACTTCTGTAAAGGTGCTCTGTTTCTAAAGGACTGAGGTGTGGTCTGTCCTTGTAGAGAATCTGAAGATTTTCATCCACCTCGTAAAACTAGACCTAATTTTGCTCCAACAAGAAACCAGAAACAAGCAACAGTGGTTGAGTTTGAGGACAAAGTTGAGTTATCTTTCCAAACTCCAAAAAGACTACAACTCAATATCCATTATTACTCTTTGTAGGGCATTAAATACTTTGATTTTTTAAATTTCAACCCCAGGGTGTTCATGTGGTATAAAACTTGAGTTTTCTTCTGTTACATTTTTCAAAAACCTTTCCCTCAACTGTGGTCACAAGCTTTGGGTAGTGACTAAGAGAACGAGATTGTGGACACAAGCGGCTGAAATGAGTTTTCTCCGCAGGGTGGCTGGGCTTTCCCTTTAGAGCAGGGGTGTCAAATATACGGCCCGCAAACGGGTTAATTCCGGCCCGCGAGATGGTTGTGTAGACTTTATTTTCATACTTTACAATGTAGAGTGAAAATAAACTTATCTTTGTGAGCAAGTTTTCTCTGTAATGAGTATAAATAAAACAAAGCAGCGCTCAAGGCTCACACAAGAACTTGAATCACATCCTGAAGTTGGCGCCACTCAGGATGTGACTTCTGATGTTGATGTGCTGGTGAAAGCTAAAAGATGTAAAGTAAAATGAGTCGAATATACTTTAAGTGCTGCATGGAACTGATCTAGCCATGTGACCTGTAAGCTCTTTGAATCACTAAGGAATGTTTTTTTATTTATTTATTTTTTTATTTAATTTTTATTCAAATTTTCAAGTACACTTCAGGTGTTGTACTTGTACTATTTTGGATACACTGTCCTCAGGCTCCAGCCTTGTTTGATATTGATTGTATTAAAACAAAGGAAACAATCTGAAGTTGTTTTAATTTACCGGTCCGGCCCACTTGGGACTAGATTTCCATCAATGTGGCCCCTGAGCTAAAATGAGTTTGACACCCCTGCCTTAGAGAAAGGGCGAGGCGCTCGATCGTCTGTAAGGTGCTCAGAGAAGATCCGCTGCTCCTCCACATGGAGAGGAGCCAGTCGAGGTGGCTCGGACATCTAGTTAGGATGCCTCCCAGCGGTCAGACTGGGACCAAGGCGACCGGAGAGACCGGTGTGTGTGTGTGTGTGGCACAAGATTATGAGGACACACAGCAAATTAATAAAAAAATGTGGTTCAGAGTCTCCAAAAGCAACACAGCTCATGTCCGCCTTTATTTACCGTATGGAGCGGACTTTCCCGTGCGTATTAGACGCCACCCACAGGCTCAGGGATTTCTGCATTCCTGAGAAGTCCCTCAGATTTATATGTGAACACTAAATGATAAATGACGCCTTCTCCGAGAGAGGACTCCAAAGCGCTTTACACAACAGTGTATCATTCCTCCATTCACACACTGATGGTGATGAACTACAATGTAGCCACAGCTGCCCTGGGGCGCACTGACAAAGGCGAGGCTGCCGAGCACAGGCGCCACCGTTCCCTCCGACCACCACCAGCAGGCAAGGTGGGTTAAGTGTCTTGCTGGAGCTGGCCCAAGTGGCTGAGGAGCGAGAAGTCTGGGCCTCCCTGCTTAGGCTGCTGCCCCTGCGACCCCACCCCGGATGAGAAGCTCAAAAATAGATGGGTTGATGGTATATTTTCATAACTGTAGATTTTTTTTAAAGATTATTGAACAATAGAACCCATTTCAGCTCAGATTATTTAGAATACTAGAATATGTTGGAATGTTATAGAAGATCTGCCTCAAAAACATCTTCCTCCTCTTCATCATCATCATCACTGATGGTGAGATTTGCCGCCATAATTGTCTCGGTTTCCTACAAAAATCTTAGAAGAAAACTGCAAAATGTGTTCAATATTATGATTATTATTAATGCTACCATCATTATGAAAATTAAGTCTAATAAACAATCTTTTTAAATGAAAAATATACATAATTTTCCTTACTTGTTCAGGGCGCATCATGTTATGATTTCACCACCTTCATTGGGTTTCACATTTACAACACATGTATCCTTATTTGGCACAAATAGTCAACTATATCATGTGAGAGGTCCTTTAAACCTAGCATTATTAGGTTTAGAGATCCGACTGTAAACACCAGAGGAGACCGAGCCACAAGAAGGCAGTTGTCCGGTTCTGCAAACCTACCAATAGTTGGCGCATCACAGACCCGCTCCAATTGGTCGAACAGCGCCATGGCGTTGACCATGACTAGCTGATCTCTGATGATTGCTTGGGTGAAATCCTGTGATTCTAAGAGCTTGTGAAAGTGGAAGTGTCTAAATATAGACACTGTCCCTATTAAGGGTTGTAACCCGTCCCAGACAAAAATAATGGCGCTGATGAACTGTGGATAGTATGCACACAATTTAACAAAGCGTCTGAGCAAGCTGTAAGAATGTAAGCCTGTTCAGATATTTTCATATTTTCATCCCAAAAAAGGAAACATAGATTTGCACATGGACACGTTTTAACATATGCGTGCAAGAAAATCATAATTACACACTTCATTTAAGTTGAGGTACAGAAGTTCAGTGGAATGAAATGAGTAAATCCACATAAAAACCTAACTGCCAGCAAATGATCTTTGGCAATAATTATCATTTCCAACTGGCTGAAACTACATAAACTTCTCCATGACTGTCAGCGTGTTCTTCTCCAACAGACCAAAGGCTGAAACATCCTACAGAGGGGAAAAGTGAAACTTTGCAGGAATAGAAATGCTCAGGTGTTGTCGTCGACCCCAACTTACCTTCAACAAACAAGTAAAAAACAGAAGGAAGTTTAGCCTCTCCAACAAATCGGAGCGAATTCAACAGTAGAATCCGCTGTTCTGCACTTTAACCCACAATCGTGTCACATGACTTACTGCATAACCAACTGGACTACAGTCTGTAAAATTACCATAGCAACAATGAGTACAATCAAAGGGTTCAAATGAAGGCGACTGGACTTCTTTGGTTTTTTGAAGACGTTTCGCTTCTCATCCGAGGAGCTTTTTCAGTTCTAACTGTAATATGGGAGATTCAAGCTTATAAGATGTAGCTGTCTATTTTTATTTAAGGAGACGAAACTACTCTGGGTACCCTTCATTTGAACCCTTTTGGATTACAATGACCTGGATGACTGAGAACCTTCACCAGCAAATCAGTACAACCTACAAACGTGCCTTAAAGGTCCTCAACAGAAAACCAAAAACTCCTCATCATTGCGATATTCTCATTAAATACCGGCTACTGTCTGATCCCTGTTCTCTTTTAGAAGCACCTGTGGACTAATTGTTCTCAACAACCTGGATTACAATTTCTACTGAAATTCGCAAAATAAACAACCTCAACTCTTTCAGAGGCTTTAAAAACCCAAATCTGTTCCCACAGCCAATCCTAATCTAAATCTGTTTTCTCTGTCTATAAAATCAGGGGCTTGCATGTGATACTTGTGTGCTTGGTGCTATGAAAGTTCTCACTCGTGTTAACGTGACAAAAGTAAATGTGAACCCTAACCCTTACCTCAAGCTGCCATTCTTCAAAGATATTTTTCTGTCATTTTTATTTCTTTTGTGTATGTAACTCAGACAAATGCACTGTAAAACCTAACAGCATATCTTAATAAACAAAGTGGGTTCATATAACTTTATTCCCAGAAGAAGTTGAACTAACTGACTTGTATGAAGTTCACCTTACTCAAAGAGAAAACTTGGTTACTAACTCTGCAGATTTGAGTTAATGACTTTTCAGTGTTCCAGTTGTTACTCAAACATCAGAATTTTGTTAGATTTACATATTTTGTTTTGGTTGATGCCCATAAATTCATTTTAAGTCATCTAAAAGAGTAGGCCCTGCTGAATTGGGCAGGTGACCCTGTGTACCTGAGGATGCCGAGGTGTCCAGCCTGAGGAAACAGTTTCTTTCTACACTGAATGGAGAAGAGCCAGAAATCATCATAGTTGATTAAAAAGACAACGCCGGACTACCATTTTTGGTAAGAATGTTCTTTCAATGGTTATGTTGCAATTTGTTGTTTCCTTGTTTCAGTTACCGAGTAAATTCACAAACTATAACTGTGGCGAGCTTCAAGATGTCTAATGTTTAATATGCTGTGTGACCTAATAAGGGTGTATGTGCAAAACAACAGTAGGTTACAAAAAGCTTCATGGTTGAAATGCTAGCGTATTTTAGAATTTTATATTAACATTTTTATTTATCAAAATGCTGTTAAACTGCTGTTCAATGAGTCATTTGGCCTAAAATTGGTAACACAGTACAATACAATCTCTTTGGAAAGTTCTGATGGAATAGTTTTACTATGTTGTAGAAACAACATTTAAAGCCTTGTTTTTGTTTGAAAATAAAGACATAATTCTATTAGGTAAACTGCTACCTGGAATGGGTTAATACATGTCAGTCATTTCCATCTAAATGGTATTTTTGGTTTGTACGGACACACATAATGCGAGCTACAAAAACTCTGAGTACTATAATACTAAACAATGCTTTATTGATAAATGTCTACTTTACTTCCTACATTCCAGAGAAGTTTGCATCAGGCCAAGAGCTGACCAAGGCCCAGACAATGAAGAACCACCGAGGTCCCTCTTACCCACAAGGATGTTGAACTTTGATTTTGCAGTGACTAGGAGTCAAGGTTGCATGTCATGTATATATATATTTATAATTTTTGCCATTACTATTTAAATTCCCTTCACATTTAAAATTTATTGGATATAATTTTGTCATCTCTGCATTACGTCTCTTTTAAAACTGAGGTTTGTCTCGCGCTTCACCTGGCATTCACTGTCAAACAATATGGATTCAACTGTCTTTTTAGAGCTGATGGTTAATAACCTGGTCAGAATAATAACTTTCAATCAAAGTTACGGACCAAAATTTGAAAAACTAAAGCTTTAGTTGGTTTCTTTTAATGTGGTGTCTGTTTTGTTTTTACCCACGCAGCTCTACACGGATCTCCATAGGATCACAAACCAAAGCCTGCAATACTACTTCTGTTCCTGACTGGACCCATAGTCACCTCAAAATCTGACGCTGTACAAAAAGATGAGGACGGGAATTTCAGACGAGGCGATGAAAAAACTCATGGAGACTTTTGAAGAACAAGTAAAAAAAATGCTTCAATATCCTTAACTGAGGCTGATTGCAAAAAAATACTAAATAATCACAACTTCTTTTCATCCAACAGGACATGAATGAACAGCAACCCTAGCTGGTCTGCCACTGCACCTGAAGGAGGATTTGGACATCTGTAACACTTATAAGGTAATTTGTGATTTATTTATCTTTTTCTTTTAATTTGAGACATTTATCTGGAATTCGTTAAATTTATTTCTTAATTTAAAAAAATTCTTGTATGAAGGAATGAATGCAGCATAGCAGTTAATACAATAAATGCAGGTTCAGAACAACAAATGCTTAAAATTAGCCATCAAAAATTTCATCTGAAAAACTCGACTGCATGAATTTTTAGCTTGTTAGCCTTGTTAGCATGTCGTGAGTAAACTTCCTTGTTTCTAATCTCCACTTTCACACAATGCACAAACCAGTTTAAACTAGGAGTTTCCAGGTCCTACTGTCTGCTGACCATGACCTGAAAAATCAAAATCACTTAAAATGGCTCTGATTATTGATTATATGTCACTATGATTCTTGCTTAGAAAATACAATTAGATTTGAGTTAAAGAACAAATGTGTTGATGAATTCAGCTGATTTACCTTGTTTGTTGCCATAGCATGCTGAAATTCAACAAACTGTTTAAAAAGCCCAGTTGCTCTATTAGCCTCCACTTGAAAGCCTCTTCACCGCATAGCAGGACTCTGAGAGAAATGAAATATTGAGCATGACTAGGAAGTTTCTGCGTAATGCTCCCCAATACGGGACAAACAGTCTCCCCCTCCCCTCAGGTTAAGAGTGTGGGTGTCATCCTCGACAGCTCACTTTCTTTTCATGCTCACATCATTAACATAACTCGGTCAGCCTATTTCCATCTTCGATCCATAAACTGTCTCCACCCCTCCCTTACCCCTCACACTGCCGCCATTCTTGTCCACAGTCTCGTCACCTCCCGTCTCGATTACTGCGATTCACTTCTGTATGGTCTCCCTTACAAACTCCTTCCTAGACTTCAACTGGTCCAGAACTCAGCAGCCTGTATTATCACCAGAATCCCTTCCTTTCACCACATCACTCCGGTTCTCCAGCAGCTTCACTGGCTTCCAGTTAAATTTAGGTCCATCTTCAGGATTCTCCTACATACCTTCAAAGCCATCCACAACCTCTTTCCTCCATGTAATTCAGACCTTATAAGTATTACCACCCCTCCCGTTCAGAGCCGGATTAACGCAAAGGCAAAGTAGGCACGTGCCTAGGGCCTGATTGGCTGGATGGGGCCCAGACAGAGGAACAAAATTAAAAATAAATAAATTAAAAATTAAATGTACAAATGTCCTATGATAGAATTTGTAGCTAGGACTCCTATCTACAATTTGTTTCAATATTTATTTATTAACTAAAAATAGTGACAATGTTTATCTTAACCATAGACCGTTTCAATGGCTACAGTCACATTAAACCTCTGGGGACGAGTATACGCGTCTTTTGAACAGGTCTTATTTGGGACGCTGTAGCAGCAAGACTCCGCCTCCCTGAGTTTCGGTTTCAATTTGGCTTTAAAAAGGAGATTATAAACTACACCCCACTTTTTAAATTTTGTTAATAGGCAATGTAAAAGCGGAGTTAAACTAAACTAAAAAACGACCTATTTTTAGACAATCTGATAACTTGTCAAAACAGCAGTTTAGTAATCCGTGAGCGGGAATGTGCTTGTGAACATAAAAAACCCACACAAAAACATGAGATCCTTTTGCTGTTGGTAAAAAGTATCATTTTGTAGCTGAGAGAGAGAGGAAGGCTGCACGAGTAATGAGATGTGCGCAAAAAGGAGCCGCTTCGCGGGGAAAGGAGTGGCGCGAACGGAGTAACAACAAACAGTTAGACAGATATTGACGGTAAACTTCATATTGTGGAGCGATCCGGACAGATATATTGTCGCTGCAGTTTAGCAGGCTTTTACTAGGCTTTAATAAAGGATGATGAGAAGGATAAATGTAAACCAGGCAGTTCAGATAGTACAGCTGTTTTTGAACTGGAAGCAGAGGAAGTGGACGGAGACTCGCAGCCGGAGTCTGAGGCAAACAGCGAGGATGTTGATGACGATGTGGCAGATCCATCCTTCCTCATAGAAGAGTTGGGTCATGATGAGGTAGAGGATGAAGGCAGAGATCCAGCTCCTCGGAGATCCATCAAGAGGAGTGTGGCGCCGCGCAGCTGTCAGATCTCGGCGTGAGACAGAGCCACTCCCCACTCCAAAATCCATGTATATTATTGCCAAATTAATAAAATAAGTATAAATTCAGATAGTCCAGGTTGTCCTGAAAATAATGATACCCCATAAGGCAATATTTATTGTTTTTATTAGAAAATACAAAAGAAAAACCAAAATGAGTCAAAAACGGTGATTTACACTCTGGATCCCAGAGGGCTAATAATTTTTTTAAATTAGTTATTTGCTATATTTAGTCATAATTTTTATAAATGTACAGTCTAGAGTACCATTCTAAATGATAAAAACATTCGTCATAAATGTTTGTTGGTTTCACAGTAAAATAAACAACTTTTTTCCAATTCAAATTTTATGTTTTTGAGTGATTTAAGGTCTAATATGCAACCCCTTTATGTCCAAATATACAAAATAAGTATAGATTCATAAAGTCCAGGTTGTGCTGAAAAGATTGATACCACATAAGGCAGTGGTTATGGTTTTTATTTTGGAAATAATACAAAGGAAAACTCACGGCAAATTACACCCTGGACCACAGAGGGTTAAGGCGCCACCCAATGAAGGACGTCAGAGTCAGAGCGGGACACAACAAAGCTAGCAGGTGTTTTTGAGTAGGCTAACTTTCAAGATGCTTTCGGGTGTGGCAAAACGTAAAAAAAAAAGAAAAAAAAAGAAGAGGAACTAAAGAAGAGACAGCGGGGGGGCTTTACAGAAGTTTCTGTCGGGCTGCTCGGGAAACCGTCCGACAGCTGTGAACCTGCTCGAGTCAGCAGAGCCAGAGGCCGGGCCCAAGTCCGACCCGGAGGAGACACGACCCGAAGACGTGGTGGAAGATGCGGCGGAAGACGCTGTAGAGCCAACGCCGTCAACATCAACGCCTTCACAGAAGGACAAACTGGAAGAACAGCAGCCAGCCAGAAGTGAGCCCAATATAGTCTTATAGGAGCCTCAAGACCCAGAAAGGGTATTAACAACTAGCTACCCATCTGATCCTGCAAAGTGGTACCAAACTGATGACAGGATGCGTGAGTACTTTGCACTAAACCATCCCTCTCAAAATACTGGATATTCTTCGGCATCACAGAGGAAATCTGGAGACATGAACCGAAGCTTAACCAAGGAACATTTCTTCAGACGTGTTTCTGCTGTGATTGAGGCCTGTGTTGCTGGAAGGCTGAAGATTATTCAGTAGTGGAGCATGCTAAATGGTTTCCTTGGTAAGTGTTGCTGGTTTTATTAATTATTTGTCAAATATTTTTTATTAATGTTCAAATAGCAAAACAATAAGTTCACACTCAGAAAATTGACACAGAATTTCTGATTCAGCAGAGGCAAAAACAGCCTGAATGAGCATAAAGCAAGATCAAAACTTAAGATAATGTTTTCATTTTATTAAAATACTTTCTTTTAAGATTATAGATTGTATAAAATTTATACTGTAATAATTTAAGCTGTGTGTTTATAGTTTGTTTTCGAGCCTTTAAAACATGCTTCAGTCCATTCAAATGAATCCATTTATTCTTGAATGTCTTTCCACCATCATGTGATTAATTTGTCATAATTTATAAATGTTGTAAGCTATTGTATTTAGCAGAAAATCTTTTTAATTAAATGTAGTGATTAAATATAAACAGAGCAAATAAGAGACACATATTTGCTCTGTTTACATAGTTTAATGACACCTAGTGGTTATATACTGGTACCGCCTTGACAATGACACTTCCAATCGATAAGATGAGGATCATTTATTAGCATTTAATACAGCTGTGTAATGACGTATAAATTATTAATATTAAAAATTTGTCTGATAGAATGTTTTACATACAACACATGACTTATTTTGGCATACAAACAACCAATTTGTAACCAAAGACTAGTCTACGTAAAATGTGAATGAACTTTTATAAGTAAATTTGGTAAGTTTCAGATTTCAATTCATTAAATAACATCGATGGGGGGGGGGGGGGGGGGGGGGGGGGGGGGGGGCTAAAAATGCAGCCTGCCTAGTGTAGTCCATTTATTTAATCCGGCTCTGCTCCCGTTCCCTCAGATCATCTTCCTCCCTCCATCTTGTTGTTCCTTTTGCCTGTCTCACTACCACGGGGAGCAGAGCTTTCAGCCGCTCTGCTCCCTGTCTCGGGAACTCACTCCCCACAGACATCAGAAATATTGACAGTTTCACCCTCTTCAAATCCAGACTCAAGACACACCTGTTCAAATCTGCCTATGACCTCTGATTTTATTTGAATAATTTTTTTTATGTTCTATTCTTCATTGTGTTTTATTGTTGTTTTAATGTATTTTACTGAATGTATTTTTCCTGTCAAGTGACCTTGGGTGTCCTGAAAGGCGCTTTTAAATAAAATGGATCATTATTATTATTATTTTTAAACACCAACGGCCAGGTCTTATGACTGCATGTGTATTTGCATTTAAATGAGGTTTTCATCAAGGGAAATATCAATATCGTCCTGGTCTTTCCAGGGATCTTTAAAGCAAATTAAGATTTAATGAAGTTTTGAAGCATTACAAATGAGAATAAATAGGAAAGAAATGAGATGCCTTGGTTATTTTTTTGTGTGCTTCTGCAGCCCGATAACGTGGGAGTGGAACACAACTTGCTGAGTCTCACCATGTCACTGACTTATCTGCCCTGTTCCTGTTGTAGCTTCTGACTTGCACCGACACCTCCGGGGGGTCGGAGCACAACCTGCAGTGGCGGCATCCCTCCGCTCCTTGTCTTGATGCCCTTGAGCAGTAATTGGTCAAATCCCAACAGAATCTGACTTGAGGGCACAGAGATCCACAGCTCCCCAATCAGCCAGCTGTCAGTCATTCTGTCAGCAAAACTAGAGCCGGGGATAACTAACAGGCTGAGATTGGAATTTAGAGTTAGTGAGACATAAATCTTCCCAACAAGTTTGTGCTCGACAAGGAAGCACTCTTTCAGGCATCACCAAATTGGATGGCAGGGAGACTGGCGATTAAGAGGAAGCCCAACATCTGATTTTTATCTCACCTGTAGGAAAGGATGAGAAATTTGCTTGTTCAAAATATGTCAAAGTGGCAAAACCACAGAATAAAAAAAGGTGCTGATTTATAAACAAACACAAAGATATAAGAATATGTCTTATTGGTGCATTTGACATTAAATACATCTCCTTAGAGTAAAATATGTGAGTTTTCTTGAGAAAAGTCACCACGAGTAGAGCCCTCAGGCAAGAAATGGTCCCCTGTAAGCCACAAAGGCTCACACTG